GCCTGCCCCCTGAACCACTGGTGGATGATATTTCTGCAATAATGCATAAAATTCAGAAACCCGACAGAAACGTTCCAGGGCAATAAAAGGAACAGATTTGGTCAGGTGAAACTGGTCCTGGAAGCTCAGCACCGGGTTTTATACCAGCCTGCCCCCTGAACCACTGGTGGATGATATTTCTGCAATAATGCATAAAATTCAGAAACCCGACAGAAACGTTCCAGGGCAATAAAAGGAACAGATTTGGTCAGGTGAAACTGGTCCTGGAAGCTCAGCACCGTGTTTTATAGCCACCTGCAAGAGTTTTATATGGTGTGCTTTGATTTAAAAAAAAAAAAAGGGCAGTACTCTTGTGGTAGCCATGTTGACCCTGATAGTTTTTTTGTTTTGTTTTTCCCTTCCCTGTATGGAGAGAAGAGAGGAGAGTTCTTTGAATAAATGGAGACGAGTTCCCGTGCTCCAAAGTTATTTGACTCTGTGGTTCTCACTGGGCATGTTTTCAGCCCTTGTAGCTCGCACGTTACAGTGAGTACTAATTGAAGGAGAYGGAGGTTTTATTTACTTTAAAGAAGTGAGAAGTAGGGAGGAAAAATTATGTTTTTTTGATACTGAGACTGGACGAGTAGCTCTCGGCAAACTGCCAACTTCAAAAGTAGCTCGTGGTTCAAAAAAGGTTGAGCACCCCTGTTCTATGGGATCAGATACAGATGGTCAAAATTATTTTTCTCCCCAGGGTAGATGGACACTACGTGCCTTCCGGCTCCACTCCGCTCCGGTCCGACTTCCGCAGCAAATACGCACCCATTATAATCAATGAGTGTGTTTACACTGGCTGTGCACAGCGGCGATGAGCGGACAGCGATCCGACAAAATTAGATCCTATCCTATTTCTGTCGGATACCGGAGCTGTGCCGGAGTCAATTTTTAAAGATTACGTCGCACCAACAGGAAGAGGAACGAGCACAACATCCGTATTTTCAAAATAAGACACTACTAGGCGGAATAATTTGTCAGAATAATGTTGAAATCCCAGCTATAATAATAAATATACGGATATATTTCTASACAAATGCTGTCAGAATGTATCGTTCTGTTTGGGAAGCAGATGGAAACATGTAGCATGAAGCATATGTGTACACACACGATACACATGGATTTTATTTTGAAATCAGAAGTTTCAGAAATACAACAGGGAGAAAGTTTCAACATAGATACCAAAAGCCTTTATATCTATGTTTTCAGCTGTGTTTAGAGTTCTTCTTTCACAGAATTAATTATTTTGTGCTGTGACTTCCACATTTATCACTGAATTTATCACGCAATCTCCTTCCCCCAAACTCTGTCAGACCGGATCGGAGGCTGTATAAATTGAGACACAAACGAACAGCTGCGACCTGCGCACTGCAGCGCAGCAGAGCGGAGACGCATGTAGTGTAAATCCGGGGTTAGAGATAGGGCGAGAAGAGTCGCTGGTCCTTCACACTGACAGGAGGTTGTGGTGGTTCAGACATCTGGAAAGGATGCTCCCTGACGTTTTTTTCCTCCTCTCGCTGCCTGCGGTGTTCTAAAAACACGTTCTTGTTCACCAGTTTCTGCTGGATGTACAGCGGGTTGGGGTGTGCGTGTGTGTGTTTTAGTCTCAATCAAAACTACGTGACAAAGAAACTTTTTACTAAAAAGTTTCTTTGTCATTGTTTTAAACAAACTAAACACTTTTTAGTTTGTTTAAAACAATATTGAACCACAGAGAGGATCTATAACTAAGTTAACTCAGTTTGTTTTATGACTGATAAGAGGCAGATGTCCAGTGTGAACCTGCTGGTTCAACACAGAGAG